CCCCCCCTCCCGGTTCCTCTTACTGTATGAACGTCATACATAAGAGTTCTGGCCGGTATTTGCTGTATTAAGCATAAAGTAGTCCAGACCGGAAGGTGAAATAAAGCATTCCGGTAAAGCTAAAATGCAGAAGAATGCGAGGAAGAAGCAAACAGAAATCACTATGCTTTTCCATGGGACGTCCGTATTCTTGTTCCCTGCATGCTTCTGCATTTCAGCTTTACCGGAATGCTTTATACAGAAATCCAAGGTTGCTTGGAAGAGCAAGGCTGGGCGGAGGCAGACCCTCGCCCTTTGCCGAGCCCGAGGTCATAACGCATTCCGGTAAAGCTGAAATGCAGTAGATCGCATGGAACAAGACAACGGAAGTCACCATGTCAAAGCAGAACGATTTCCGTTTTCTTCTTCCCCGCGTTCTTCAGCATTGCAGCTAACCGGAATGCTTTTTTACTTGTTCCTCTTGGTCTGGGCTAGCCGGGGCAGCCGAGCACGGAAGTACCCTATTTAAGAACGGACACTTTCAGGGGGGTGAGGGGTAATAAGGCATTCCGGTAAAGATAAAATGTAGAAGGATGCGAGGAAGAAGAAAACGGAAATCGCTATGCTTTCACATGGTGACTTCCGTTTTCTTGTTCCCTGCATTACTCTGCATTTCAGATGCACCGGAATGCTTTATACCCGACTGGGGCGTCAGCGCGGCGTGATCGCGTTCCTAATGCGAAGCCTGTTACGCGACGAAGTCGGTGTTCGAATACCTAGCCCTCTAAAGTCTAGCCAGCCAAAGGTGACGCCTGGGTTTGCTGAAGCCGCTCAGAGGAGCCCATGCTACGCCGGGCGTCACCTTCGAGGGGGTAATCACTCCGTGAAAATGCGTACACCTCAACTTTTCACTTTTCCACTTTTATTCACTTTTTCACCGTTTTACAACGTTTACTTCATTTCTACGCCTATATCCCCTCTATTTTATTCATTTTTGATCTGATCAACGCACGATAAGTCACTTTTGTCTACATTTTCTTTCAGTTTTCATCACTTTCAGTCATCTTTTTGTCACTTTCACTTTAACTTTTATAGAAATTTGTACACCCACTTTCTGTAGTGATTACCCCCTCGGTCACCTTTGGTTGGCCGGACTATACCTTACAAGGGAAGGTTTTCCGGTGATACAGTCAGATTTTAAAGGCGCTTTAAAGAGAAGTTGTTTGCACCTCTAGATTAGGATTGGCACTGGTTTTAGCTGCCAAATCAATGGGGTTCACCAAAAGGGGCCTAGGGTCGCAACCCCCTCTCCGGACCCGTTTTTGCGACCCTAATCGATTTCGTTCGAATTTTCTAGAAGTAAAGAACGTGCTAAATTATGATTTCCCTCAAAATCTGGGCGCTGTAGCTCAAACGGTTCTTAAAATACGTGCATGTAAAGTTGATAATCAGGCTAAAAAGTTCGGCGAATTTTCAATTAAATTCGCGTAAAACGACCTTCGAACTCCCTACGCACAGCTAAAACCGATGCAAAACCTAATCTAGGAATGAAAACAACAACACTTTGAAACGCCATTGAAATCTGAGTGTATCACCGAAAAACCTTCCCTTGTTAGGTACACAAGACATGCTGATAAAGGGTTCGCCGAAACTTACCGGTTACACACGTATCCACAGAATGACGCTCTAGTCGTGGCGGCGATGGGAAGAGCAGCAACTCCTCGCAGGACGCGTCACCAACAATCGACCGACCACAGCCGACGCACGAAAGCAGAGCACGACCGCACCGTGCGACGGTTGGCGAGGAACTGGTGGTGTGGCACCTGGCTCCACCAGACTCAGCGCGCGGCGGGCAGCGGGCACTGCAGTGTTGGCGGCCGGCGCAGCTCCTCGCAGGCAGGAGGGGAGCCGGGGAAAGGGGGGAGGGAGGCGCGGAGGCCACGTCACGTGATCGAGGGCCTGGAAGGTTCGGCTCAAGTGGAACTGCGGCGCTGCCTGGCTACCGCCTACCTCTGAGGCGCGGGCCGGGAAATAAATGCCGTGACTGAACAGGGTATTTCACTGAAGCGCTGTCCACAACTAAGAAGAACAAAAACGGATACAGAGAGCGGTGGTGGGGCGGGCGCGCGGAGGAGCGGAGGGCGGGCGGGAGGCTCCCGCTCCCCCGCGCGCCCGCCCCCGCTCGCTGTGTATCCGTTTTCGTTCTTCTTAGTTCCGGCCAGCTCTCTATTGAAATACCCTACTGCGGCGCTCCGGGCAGGGGGCGGGGGAGAACGCTTGAACTGCGGCGCAGCGTGAGATGGTAATTTTTTAGATAGTCCCCTAAAGACTGTCTCTACCAGAAGGAAAAGTCCACCCCCTCCCCACCCATTTCCTATAGAGTACGTGCAATAAAGCATTCCGGTAAGGCTGAAATGCAGAAGAATGCGGGGAAGAAGAAAACGGAAATCGGTATGCTTTAACATGGTGACTTTTGTTTTCTTGTTCCTCGCATTCTTCTGAATTTCAGCTTTACCGGAATAGGGTACTCTGGGGCTCGGCTAGACGGGAGGGGCGCGGGGAGGAGCGGGGCCTGCCGCTCCTCCCGGCGCCCGCCCCTACCACCGCTCTCTGTATCCGCTTTTGTTCTTCTTACTTCCGCTCCGCGCTCTAGAGGGATACCCTATATATTTTTGACTACATTTAGGTCGGAGAAGAGTAGATTGTCAGTTACATTGACGACAAACCTCTATTTTGTGTGACACTTTACTTTGACGACTTCCGGTATTTTTAGCTCGCCCTTTTGCTTTGAAAAAGCTATCCAGCGGGCTTATGCAAACGACCTCGTGTCTGTCTGTTCCACTAGAAGGAGATGTGCTAGAGACAGGGTATCTTAAGGTTTACTCCTAGAGAACGAAACGCCTATGGCAAATCCTGGCAACCAACCCTAAGGGTGTGAATGGGGGTATCCAAGGTTAAAAAATTCTCCCGGAAAATAACCTGCCGTCTGCATGTGTGTACAGATGTTGCCTAGTTGACAGACGGAATTGCCGCAAAACGTGTTTCTTTTTTTTTTTTTACTTTTGCCTATGATGCCGGTATATCCACTTGGCCAAGGCGGACTCCCGGAGCGTTCGGCATTGGAGAGATGACATTCAAGAGACGATCCAGACAGTCGAACGCCTACACGAGGACGGTCACACCCCACCTGTGCTCCGCTTGGCCGAGTGGACAGCGCGCCAGAGATCTGTGCGGGGAGTCGGAGGTTCGACGCCCGCCCGGTTCACCGCTTTCACTGGCAGCTCGTGGTTCTGCGAAGTGCTCCAAACAGAAGGAGTTGATTGGTCTATTTATTTGGGATCTCCCCTGAGGGCGCTCATGTTTTTTTTCCGAAAAACACCGAAACTGTGTTGGCTTCAGGTTGCCTCCTGGTTGGCTCCAGGTCGGCTCCAGGTTGGCTCCAGGTTGGCTCCAGGTTGGCTCCAGGTTGGCTCCAGGTTGGCTCCAGGTTGGCTCCAGGTTGTCTTTTAGACGGCCCGAAACTGGCTCCAAAACGTATCTAAAGTGTCCCCGGTAAGGCCCCCCGATGGCTCTGAAATGGCTCCCCGTCGTCCAGGTGCCGGCCTATGTTTGGCTCCAAGGCGGCTGCGAAATGGCTCTTTCTGTCATTAAGTTACCTATTGCGGAGCCATTCGCGATGGCTACGCCTCGGCTACGCAAAAGCTGGAGACTGATCGCAGCGATCCTCCGCGATGTGTTGAGAATGGCTACGACGGAGCCATTCTAGACCCATGCTGAGGCCGAATTTTTCTGTACGGGTAGGCCATCCATAACACTGAATATTTGCTACGTTCTCGCACAAACCCGGTCGCCATTCGCTGAATATGTGCACCGCTGCAGCGAAAATACTAATTTTCACTTAAGCGTTACGCCCACCGTAACGTGACGCCGCGCGGTACCGGCGACATGACAAACTCCAAGTACCTACAGGGTGTCCGTGCACGGCAGGTCCCCGGCCTCGGCCGCGCGGCCACGGCGGGGCACGCGAAAAACCACCGTGAGGGAAAAATAGCGCGAAAAAGACAAAGACATAAAATTCGTTCTTGCGCATGGTTCCCGACATCACAGCCACCTTCGCTTAGTATTGTTGAACCTCCACAACGTATACTTTCATTTTACCTGCGTTCTGGCATACCGATTTTTAAATGGAACGCCCTAGCCCGGCCCCTGCCGAGCGGAGTTGCCGGCGGAGCGGAGCGGAGCTTGCAACTTCATTTGGCGGAAGGGCGGGCCTGCTTGTTGTTCTTCGAGAGGTCGAAAAGCGCTCGGGCAAAATGGTCTATGGGGTATTTCACCCAGTTTAAACCGGATCCGAAGAACAGCAGTGATTCCTCAATAAAGCATTCCGGTAAAGCTGGAATGCAGAAGAATGCGGGAAAGAAGAAAACGGAAGTCACCATGTTAAAGCATTGTGATTTTAATTTTTCTTCTTCGCCGCATTCTTCTGCATTTCAGCTTTACCGTAATGCTTTATAGACTATTCCGGCGGGAGCGCGGGGAAGACTCCACGGAAGAACAAAAGGGCCCGTGATTCGCCGAGCGGCGTCCCCCACCATCGTCCCTTAGTGGAGGGAGGGGGACGCCGCTCGGCCAATAGCCATCCCTTTTGTTCTTCCGTGGAGTCTTCTCCGCACTCCCGCCGGAATAGTCTATTGTTTCCTCCCACTCGCTCATTACTGCCTGACGTGGGCGAAGTTCGCGAACCCGCTACCAGGACTATGTCTGCCCTAGTGACGGGTCCTAGAACTTCATCCAATGAGCCTCAGGTAGGAAACAGTTTGGGAAGCAATGCTGTTCTCCCTTGGATCCGGTGAACTGGGTGAAAGAAAGACTCTATGTGTGTGTAATAAAAATGATCCAAATCGTTTGTACGTGACGAAGAGCAGATGTCCGAAAGATACCCACAGTGAAAAACGGACACAGAGAACAGTGGTGGGGCGGGCGAGAGGACGAGTAGCGGGTGGAAGATGAGCTTCCTCGCCCTCCTTCCGCTCTCTGTATCTGTTTTTGTTCTTTTAAGTTCCGGGCAGCGCTCTATAGACGATGTGACCCAGCGGCAGAAGTCAGTGTGGCAACGCCGCACTTCCTGTCATTTGGAACTTAAACTACGGGATTTGACTTGAATAGGGAATTTCAATGGAGCGCTGCTCGGATCTAAGAAGAACAAAAGCGGATACAGAGAGCGGTGGTGGGGGCTGGCGCGCGGAGCGCGAGCAAGGAGGCTGCGCTTAGCGGCCCTCGTGTGAGAGGTGCGCAGAGCTCCGGGCTGGTATCGCCTGGGCCAGGGACACCCCGAACGAGACTACTACCTCCGCTGAGCGCGCGTCGGCTCGCCTGCAGCCTAGCCTCAGACGGGGTGGTTTCTGGCCGGGCCGGCTCCCAGGCGATACCAAAGCGCTGTGATTGGCTGCCGCTCGGCTGCTCTGCGCACCTCTGACACGAGGGCCGCTAGCTTCGCTCCCCCGCGCGCCCGCACTGGCGGCATAACATTCTCCCTCGGCAGACGGCAACAACACTATCGCTTAAGATGGCGGCGGGCTACTCTGGCCACTCAGGCCCCCCTTTCCACCAACATTGCTGGTCGAAAACTAGAAGTATTTTATAAAGACTATTAAGGGTTTACTTTCACAGTATGTTGTGTAGCAACACTTGAGAATTCAAACAGTATTAATATCTTGGGGTTATGCATAAGTGTCAGCAGGCACGAAAAGTTAGCGTGTTTTGGTTTTCAGCGTGGTACGCCCTCTAGCGTCCCTCTGGTTCCGCCCGGCTGAATCGGGCACTGGAAGTCCCTATGTCTTTGAACATCTCAACTGCACTGTAAGGCCGAAAGGTAAGAATGTTGTCGGGCTGGGAGTTTGCGCAGATTGACGCTCCGACCAGGGTGATGTTTTCTTGCGGCTCCCTGATCAGGGCGACGAAAGTATCTCGCAGTAGGGAGACATTTTTAGCGACAAAGCTAGGCGACGGCGGGCACCGCGTGCACGGACAGTCCCTCCGCCCACACAGAGGCCATTGCAACACTTCAAGCAAATGCTAAATTAGAGAAGCAGCTTTCTGAACTCTCAGTTAAATGTCAAAATTTTGAAGAAGTTAAAAGACAGCTTACTGATGCCGAAGAACACCTCTCATTGATACGAAAAGAAAAGGCTGATTTGGTTCATTCTTTAAAATTGGAAATTAATTCTCTTAGAAGCTCAAATGATTCCCTTGTAATTCACAAGGATTCATTGATCAAGCAATTGGATGAAAAAGATTCCAAACTTGCAGAGTTGGGTGTTGAAGTGAAAAGCTCGAAGAGAGACACACTACTGATCAAGGTCAGAAGATGTCCAACCCTCTTGGTGCTCCAGCTTCATCCTCTGGTGACGCAAATGCTCTATTCAATCACCACCAACCTCAACAGCAAAACCCCAACTCCTACTTTTGTGGCAGGGGCAGGGGAAGAGGAAGATGTCGTGGAGGCAGAGGAGGCAACGGTGGCAATCAAGGTAATCAAGACCAGAGAAACAACAGAAGTCGTGATAACAGATGCTTCAAGTGCGGCAAGTGGGGCCACCTTTCTTATGACTGCAAGTCGGCTGCCGCTTACCGTGCCCAGATTGCAAATGGAAGTCAAGAGAATAACCAGCCAAATAACCCTCCATCCATGTCCTCTCCTGTGGGCGTGGCGATCACCGTCACCGTCACCACCCCCAACTTAAATGTTGGAGCTTCAGCTATAACCAAACCACCCGCTGTGCTGGAGGTGGAGGTGCAATGCCCTTCCTGCATGAAGTAAAGCCAGTAAATCCTAAAGCAAAAATGTCAAATCCGAAGTCTAATAAAGAAATGATAGGTTCCCTTTTGAATTTGTCAGAAAATACTAGACCAGATTTGAGTTATGTTGTAAGCAAGCTTGCACAAAAATGTCAATCACCAACTGAAGACGATGTTAATGATGTTAAACATGTCCTTCGCTATCTTGTTTCAACTGGTAAATATAACTTAACTTATTCCAAATCAGGGCTACCTATTAAAGTCTTTTGTGATTCCGACTTTGCTGGCGACCCCACAGATAGAAAATCCAGATGTTGTTATGTTGCAATGCTCGCAAACAGTCCAATCTCATGGTACTCGAAGAAACATAATTGTGTTGCTCTTTCTACTGTGGAGGCGGAGTTCATTGCTATGTGTGAAGTTACTCGTGAAGTTGTGTGGCTGAAACGATTGCTGTCAGAGTTAGGTCAATCTAGATATGTTCAAAGTCCATGTACTATTTTCTGTGATAACCAAGGTGCAATCAACAAGACTAAGGAAGTTGATCAAAATGTATCCGAAAGAAACAAGCACATTGACATTCAATACTTTTATTGCAAAGATATGCAGGTTAAAGGCTTTGTGAAATTTGTTTATGTACCTTCATTCAATAATATTGCGGACATCTTCACTAAACCCTTAAATGGTCCTAAGACTAAATACTTTTGTGAAAAGCTCCCGCGTTTATGACGGCGTGCAAGCTACGTCATAGGTAGGGGGCTGGGGTGAATGATCCCCTTGCGCCCACGGCGCCTTACTCCCAGCTGCAGGCCAAGTGAAGGGCCAACAGCAGGTCACCACCCTGGTGGAAGGGAATAGAATAGAATAGAATATTGCTTTATTAGGGTACTCTTTTAAGAGGACTTGTAAGTCCCGATTGACAAAAGGGCACCCGCTCCCTTAATATTTACAAGTATTGTAACAAAAAAAGCAGAGAAGTCTGCACAGTGTAGCAGTAGTAGTAACAAAAATAGACAGACATAAAGTAGCAAAAGTAAAAGTAGTACATACATAGTGTAGTTCCACACATAAATCACAAACATTGTTCTTCATATTTCTTAATAAAATAAGTGTACATATCAGTTCTCAATTTATTTGGTGTGCTGTACATAAGATATTTGCCAATGTTGAACTCATTCCAGAGTTTGCAAGAGGTGACAAGAAAGGATTTGGTAAATTTGGCTGAGTCATGTGGTGGTAAAACCATTGTGTCTTTTGTAAACCTGTTCTGCCTTGTGCTGACATTTGAGAGTAATGAGTAGTTTTGGAATAAATATTCTGGTTTACCAGTCTTCATTATTTTCCACACCAGTATACATTGTTGCACCACTCTCCTATCACAAACCTTAAGAAACTTCAGGTTAATATATGACGGAGTAATGTGGTCAAATTTTCCAACACCAGTTATAAACCGAACACATGCATTCTGGACTCTCTGCAACCTGACAGTATAAGCATCTAACATATCGTTGAACATTACAGAGCCATAATCAAATAGGGGAAAGATTAGAGAACTAATAAGTTTAGTTCTAACTGATGTTGGTATTAGAGGCATATTTCTTTTTAATTGGGCTAATGTTCTAAATGACTTTTGCATTACTGATATGCTATGTTCACTCCAGGTGAGTGTGCAGTCTATTATCACTCCTAGATTCACAACTGTTG